TTTTATTTATGATTTTTATTTATGACTTTTCATTTTTATTTATGATTTTAATTTACGATTTTTCATTTTATTTATGATTTATTTTTCATTTATGATTTTTCAGTTTTATTTATGATTTTTATTCTTTTCATTTATGATTTTTATTTATGATTTTTATTCTTTTAATTTATGATTTTTCAGTTTTATTTATGATTTTTATTTGTGACTTTTATTTATTATTTTTATTGCTGATTTTCCATTTTATCGAGGATTTTTATTTTTACTTACGACTTCCCATTTGTATTTATATCTTTTCATTTCTGATTTTTCTTTCCATTTATCCATTTTGATTTTTATTTCAGAACCTGAAATTTAACTATTTAAGCACCTGAAAACAAAAACTCAAGATTCAAACCTGCTCCTTCCATCCAGAGGTTGAAATCTGAGGAAAGAACAACAAAAATTTCATTTTTTTTTTTAATTTTTTTATTTTTTTTTTGTGGCTCACCTGCCTTTTTGGAGGCTTCAGCTCATCCCTGGGGACAATATCAATCAGGAAATCGAATTGATCGAATTTTGTAATTGCCATGGCAATGTCATTCCTCTGAAAAAGAAAATATTCAAATTAAATTAAATTAAAAATAAAATAGAAAAATACATTTCTCAGTTTCAGGAGCGTCCTGGGGACTGGATAAATGCCATTTATTAATTGCATTGTTTTGTTATAAATTGTTCTATAGAAGAGAAAATGAGTTAAAATAGAAATTAATAAATATTTATTAATATTGATAAATAAATAGAAATAAAGAAAATAGAAATAGAATAGAAATAAAACAGAAATAAATCAGAAATAAAATAGAAATAGAATAGAAATAGAATAGAAATAGAATAGAAATGAAATAGAACTAAAATAGAAATAGAATAGAAATAGAATGGAAATGAAATAGAAATAAAATAGAAATAGAATAGAAATAAAATGGAAATAAAATAGAAATAAAATAGAAATAAAGTAGAAATAAAACAGAAATAAAATAGAAATAGAATAGAAATAGAATGGAAATAAAATAGAAATAAAATAGAAATAAAATAGAAATAAAATAGAAATAAAATAGAAATAAAACAGAAATAGAATAGAAATAAAATAGAAATAAAATGGAAATAAAATGGAAATAAAATAGAAATAAAATAGAAATAAAGTAGAAATAAAATAGAAAATAGAAAGAAAAAAGAAAAAACCAAATATAAATAAATTAATAAAACTATAACTATAAATCAACATAAAAGAAAATAAATAATAAAACCGTAATAAATTAGGATAAATATATTAAAATAAAATAAAATTTATATTAAAATATGATATAAAAATATTAAATTTATGACAAATCATGGATTAAAAATGAAATTTCAGATGTTTAAAGCTCCAGCCCAGGGACAGGAAACTCCTGGGGCTCAGAATATTCCAATTTTTCCCTGATCTGAATTAACCATTGTTGAATTTTCCAGGTGTTTCTTGGTGCATTTCCACCATTTGGGGTTTGGGGTTTTGGGGTTTTGGGGAAGGGATTTGGGATTTTGGGATTTGGGGTTTTGGGTTGGGGTTTTGGGAAGGGATTTTGGGATTTGGGATTTTGGGATTTGGGATTTTGGGTTGGGATTTTGTGATTTTGGGGTTTGGGAAGGGTTTTGTGATGGGATTTTGGGATTTGGGATTTTGGGTTTGGATTTTGGGATTTAGTGATTTTGGGATTTGGGAAGGGTTTTGGGATTTTGGGTTTGGATTTTGGGTTGGGATTTGGGATTCTGGGAAGGGATTTTGGGATTTTTGTGATGGGATTTGGGGGTTTGGGGAAGAGATTTTGGGTTGGGATTTTGTGATTTTGGGATTTGGGAAGGGATTTTGTGATGGGATTTTGGGTTTTTGGATTTGGGAAGGGTTTTGGGATTTTGTGATTTGGGAAGGGTTTTAGGATTTGGGATTTTGTGATTTGGGATTTTGGGATTTAGTGATTTTGGGATTTGGGAAGGGTTTTGTGATGGGATTTTGGGATTTTGGGATTTGGGAAGGGTTTTGGGATTTTGGGTTTGGATTTTGGGTTGCGATTTGGGATTCTGGGAAGGGATTTTGTGATTTTGTGATGGGATTTGGGGTTTTGGAAAAGGGATTTTGGGTTAGGATTTTGTGATTTGGGAAGGGTTTTGGGATTTTGGGATGGGATTTTGTGATTTGGGAAGGGTTTTAGGATTCGGATTTTTGTGATTTGGGATTTTGGGATTTAGTGATTTTGGGATTTGGGAAGGGTTTTGTGATGGGATTTTGGGATTTGGGAAGGGTTTTGGGATTTGGGATTTTGGGTTTGGATTTGGGTTGGGATTTGGGATTCTGGGAAGGGATTTTGTGATTTTTGTGATGGGATTTGGGGTTTTGGGAAAAGGATTTTGGGTTGGGATTTTGTGATTTTGGGATTTGGGAAGGGATTTTGTGATAGGATTTTGGGTTTTGGAAGGGTTTTGGGATTTGGGATTTTGGGTTGGGATTTTGGGATTTGAGGTTTTGGGTTGGGATTTTGGGTTGGGATTTTGTGATTTTGGGATTTGGGAAGGGATTTTGCGATGGGATTTGGGGTTTGGGAAGGGTTTTGGGATTGGTGATTTAGGGATTTAGGATTTGGGAAGGGTTTTGTGATTTAGGGATTTGGGATTTTGGGAGGGTTTTGTGATTTGGGATTTTGGGATTTGGGGAGGGTTTTGTGATTTGTGATTTAGGGATTTGGGATTTTGGGATTTGGGGTTTGGGGAGGGTTTTGGGATTTGTGATTTAGGGCTTTGGGATTCTGGGAGGGTTTTTTACCTGCAGGGTCCTGCGTTTGTTGTCCTCTGTGTGGATCCAGGCTCGCAGGGTGAGCTCAGTGATGAAAATCTGAGCAGCCTTGGCAAAGAGCACGGGGGCCTCTGCACTGATCATCTGCCAAAAAACCCCAAATAATGCAAAAAAACCTAAATAATGCCAAAAAACCCCAAATAATGCCAAAAAAACCCCCAAATAATGCCAAAAAAACCTAAATAATGCCAAAAAAACCCAAATTATGCCAAAAAAACCTAAATAATGCCAAAAAAACCCAAATTATGCAAAAAAACCCCAAATAATGCCAAAAAAACCTAAATAATGCCAAAAAACCCCAAATTATGCCAAAAAACCCAAATAATGACAAAAAAACCCAAATAATGCCAAAAAAACCCCAAAGAATCTAAAAAAACCCAAATAATGCCAAAAAACCCCAAATAATGCCCAAAAAACCCAAATTATCTCCAAAAAAACCCCAAATAATGCCAAAAAACCCAAATAATGCCAAAAAACCCCAAATTATGCAAAAAAAACCCAAATTATGCCAAAAAAACCTAAATAATGCCAAAAAAACCCAAATTATGCCAAAAAATCCCAATAATGCCAAAAAAACCCAATAATGCCAAAAAAACAACCAATAATGCCAAAAAACCCCAAATAATGCCAAAAAAACCTAAATAACGCAAAAAAACCCCAAATTATGCCAAAAAACCCCCAAATATCTCAAAAACCCCCAATAATGCCAAAAAAACCCAAATAATGCCAAAAAAACCCAAATTATCTCCAAAAAAACCCCAAAGAATCAAAAAAACCCCCAAATTATCTCCAAAAAACCCCAAATAATGCCAAAAAACCGAAATAATGCCAAAAAAACCCAAATAATGCAAAAAAACCCCAAATAATGCCAAAAAAACCCAAATAATGCCAAAAAAACCCAAATAATGCCAAAAAACCCAAATAATGCCAAAAAAACCTAAATAATGCCAAAAAACCCCAAATAATGCCAAAAAAACCCAAATAATGCCAAAACCCCCCCAATTATCTCAAAAAACCCCAAAGAATCAAAAAAAACCCCAAATATTCTCAAAAAAACCCCAAATAATCTCAAAAAACCCAAATTATCTCAAAAAACCCTCAAATAATCTCAAAAAACCCCCAAAGAATCTCAAAAAAACCCCAAATTATCTCAAAAAACCCCAAATAATCTCAATGTTGGAATATAAAATGTTAGAATATAAAATGTTGGAATACAAAATGTTGGATTACAAAATATTGGAATATAAAATCATGGAATATAAAATATTGGAATATAAAATCATGGAATATAAAAGATTGGAATATAAAATACTGGAATATAAAATCATGGAATATAAAATTTCTTTTTCTTTAAAAAAAACCAATCTGTCCCCAGTTTTACTCAGCTGAAGGAGTTTTGCTATTAATGCTTATTAATTAATTTTTAAATAAAAATATTCTCGATAATTCCAGAGACTCTCCCTGCTCTCCACTCTTGCCTTAAAAAAATCTCATTTTCTCTTTTTTCTCCCAAATTTGGAATTTATTTGGTTCACACAATGACACTCACAGGCCTGGGCTCATTTTTTTTATTTTTTTTCAGGGATTCTGAATAGAAAATTTTCAGGATCTCATCAATTAAAAGTTGTCCTGACAGAAGGATGGTGTCACATTGAGGATAAAAAAAATGAAATAATTTTATAAAAAAAAA